TGAGCGGAACATTAATGGCATAGTATTTGCCTCTTTCGGCTCCGATGTCCTTCAGGTCTCCCGTTTCGGGGAAGAAGTTTTTGCCGAACTTATGGAATGAGACGGTCATCACTCGATCCGTCACATAAAAGGCTATAAAACAAACAAAACTATTGTCAAACACAAACCCATTAAAGATAATTGAGATAATTGGTGGCCACAGACCCTCTTCGACACCGTCGCCGTGATGTACATCAATATCGATGTACAGAACTCTCTGTTGGTATTTAAGTAACTCAAGAATAGCCAAAACAATATCATTGATATAACAAAAACCGGACGCTTCGGACTTCTTGGCGTGATGTAGACCTCCCGCCCAATTGATAGCAATATCGGTGGCCTTCTTATTCAACTTTATGGCTCCAGATATGGAACCGCCGGCCGATATCTGACAGAACTCATACATGCCGTTAAATATGGGACAGTCCTCTCCCGACAAGTCTATTATACAATTCATTAATTAGTAAATCAATGGTTTAAATACATTAAGAAAACAAATACAGGAATGGATTTCGTGTCCAAAGTTTTGAATATTGTCGGGTTCTAAGCGGCGAAGAGTGTGCACATAATCGGGTGAATGGAAACGATTCATCTCTTCTTCGGTCGCTTTGTGTGGTCTCTAAACCATTCAACAGTTTTATATATCATTAATAATTATATCAATTAATTAACAATAATTAACAATCTATTTGAAATGTTATTGTCAAAAGTACAGTCAACACCCGGTATAGTGTACAATCAATTTACACCAATAATTCGCAAAATCATTAGTAAATTGTGGAGTCATTGCATTGCAAATAATAAGTTATTAATTAGTGTTCATAAATAACAACTTAATATCTAATTTAAATTGATTTAAAAATGAGTGTATATTGTATGGCATAAGACTGTAATTATTAACAAACAGTAGTTTACAAATTGGGATAAATATGAGTCAAATTGCAAATCAATTCAACGCATAGACAATCATTTGCATTGATAGGCCATCGCATGGGGTCTGCCCTCACCCGTGACCTCGACCTCGAGTCGCGTAATGGCCTCCAAATGAATGGCATTGAAGACCTTTGTTTGGATGCGACTGAACAGGGCTTAGAGATAGGGGGCGGACAGTGGGGTAGGGGTTGGGGTAGTAGTGATGGTCACTCACATAGACCTCCATTTTGCGATAGAGACCGTAGTTGAGGACGAGATCGTGAGTCATACGGATCCGATGCGGTTTCATGGGATGCTTTTTGCCGTAATAGAAACCTCCGATTTCCGCTATAAGACACCACAACGACAGACACAACGAGATTATCAACTCATCCAACACTGCGTTAAGTCATACATACAGTCATAATAATAGCACACTTTGCGCTTAAATCCATTCCTCGAAGTCATTGTCGTGCGAACACAAGTTTGTTGTCGTCCGAGTTGTTGCCCAAGAAGTGGTCCAACGATCGCAGATCTAAGTGGCTGTGTTTGGTGTTGTGTGGGCTCGAGTGGCCAGTGGTGTGTCTTCGGCCACAAACGAGTGGATGAGTCGGACGTCTGGACTAATGATATGATAGCATAAGAGGTTCAGTGAATGTCTGATAATCAGTGCAATGAATGGATTGAATGGTTTGAATGGCAATCAAATGTATCGCTTGTATTGCTTTCACTATTCATATATTGTTCACAAATTCTCATTCACTGAATATTATGTGCTTTTATTGTAACACAAAAAAGTTGTTCACAAATTGTAGTCAACACTGGTTTGCAATACACACTACAGATGGCGCTCAATATAACGGCCATTCAATGCTTCGTAAAGCGAATGAAAAAGTTTTGCCAATACTTATAGGTTTGCTGTGAAAAGCGATCAAAACTTTTTTAATACTATTTTAAGTACTCATGGATTATGTAATTTATAATGTATTTATAAATAAAACCTGATTTTTTGCTGTAGGACTTTATATTTGCTATATTAGACACACCCGAGGGGTCTGAAGCATATTTTGGGCTTACTTTTGGACATTTTAAATGATTTTTTCTTTTCCTAATAACATAATCATCGGTATTAATGTTGTGAGAAATGATGACATTTATAAGTTGATTATATCTATTATATCTTCATATTATTCACTATTAGTTTTAACAAATTTGTATTCAATTGACAATTTGGAAGATATCTATTGAAAGACAACAATTTATTAATTTTTATATAGAACAAAAAATATGACCATGATAAAAAGTATGGCCTTTTGGATTTTGAAAACTTTTCAAATGAATTTTTAATCTAAAATTTGTACTTTTAATTAAATAGTTTTATCAAAAATCTTGGGAATAAATTCATTATCAATGTAATTAATACCTATAAAATACTGTGTTTAGCACATAATAATTATGATGACATTTTACCAATCACTAATCTCAATTCAATATAAATATTTCTATTATAAGCATAAATATTATTACTATTTTCACACATCTCTGAGAGTAATAACGATAAAATTATAGTCAGACGATTGTACTATTTATTTATGGCAATTCTGTATTGAAAAAGAAAGAAAGAAAGAGAGAGAGATTACTCGAGAAAATTATAGTTTCCATACATTTTAGATTCAATTAATTGACTCCTAATTATAGTCATAACAAGAATTGTTGATCTGAAGAGAGAGAGAGAGAGAGAGAGAGAGACTGGATTTTGATGATAGTGTTGAGGCATTTTCACAAGTAATTTATATAATAGACATAAGAAAACTTTTGTCAATATCTGATCGGATACTAATCATTACTCCACTAAATTCAGTCCAATTGTTATATTATATTATATTTAGCCTTAATTTTGTATTCACGCGAACTATAGTATAAAATATTTGTTACTAGATATATAAATAACTTTGTTTTTGTTGTAATTGTGTTAACATTAATATGTAATCACATGACCCTAATATGAATGAAAACTATTTATTTAATACTTTATATGATAATAATACGAGAAAAGAGCAAAAAAGTATTAAATTGTAAATGATTTTTATTGACAAACAAATAACAGAGATATAAACAGATCAACAATTCTTGTTATGACTATAATTAGGAGTCAATTAATTGAATCTAAAATGTATGGAAACTATAATTTTCTCGAGTAATCTCTTAAAGCAGTTTTTTGTGGACGCGCTGTAACTGAACGATAAAGTACTGCACAAAACACTAGTGTTTATATTAACCTATATTTGAATTTTAATTCAATAATTATGTGATAAGAAAAAGTTTTTTTTGAACATTATATTTATAAATGTGATAACTAATAGCATTAAAGGGGCATTAAATCTATACTGAATAACGTTAACGAATAGTACGGTATAAAAGGGGAATCATTATATTTAAAATCTAATGTGTTTTTGAGTTTAAAACTTTCTCAAAAAATAATTTTATTTTAATTAAATTTTATATTTTTGATGCTTTTTGATGTTTTTTGTTAAGGCTCCCAATTCTTTGCTTTTAAGGCATTATAAGATTTATAAATTATAATACATTATAATTATAATTGCATGAAGTTTTTGGCATTGTTTTAGTATTATGTTATTGTAAAACCAAATCATTGATGATTTTGATTAATGATTGGAAACCAATTTTTCCAAAGAAATGCTGTCATAACCTATTATTGTAATTATGAAATGATTTTATTTCTAAATATTATCTTATTTTTATGATTATATTCTACTTTTTTTATTTGACTCTTAATTTATTAACTTATTTATAGCATAAAACAAAAAACTCATTAATTATAGTATTTTTATATTTGCTAAACCATACATTTAGGGGACTATGAAAATCAGTTAATGAATAACTTTTTGAAATATTGTTTATTAATTAGTTTTTGATTAATAAAATGATCCGATTTTTTGTTACTTTTTTTGTTTAATTGTAATATATTTCGATATAATTACGACATTTTTACTCGACATTTAAATAGTGAACTTTTGGTATCAATTTTGTTGAATTAGAATAAATTAATTGAGAAAATAGTCCAAAAACATAATAAATCAAAGTTGTATTAAAGGATTTGAAGGCAGTATTCGTCTTAACACTAATCCCTAAAACAGTATTTGTGTCTAGAATTTAAAATAATAAAAACAAGAACTAAATTTTACATTCATTTTTGCTACCATTACAAGTTTAAAATTCGTATTAATTACAGTATTAAATAACAAATAAAAATTAAAAAATAATTAGTAAAAATTTAATTTACTATTCAATATCTTATTTTCAATGCATTTTAGTATGAAATTAATATTATAGTAAAAGGAGTATTAATCATGTAATTTACGGTAAATACACATCTAAAACAATGAATTGTCTCATCAATACTTGTTTATATTAATAAGTGATGAACACAATGGTCTTCATTAATAAAACTCAACCGTCATTTGAAGCCTATTATCTACAGTAGTGGACAGTAGTGTTGCCCAAAAATTTTTTTTTTACTCATTAGATATTTTTGGACATTTCTCATTTTGGGCAACACTACTACAGTATTATCCCATAGAACACTATTTCGGGTAAATTTAATTATTTATACAGAATTGGATTTATACTTATTTTGGGAAAAAAGTTTGTCCTTCTCTAGTCGTGAGGGGTTGAAGAAAAATGCAATCAAAACTATAAGCCCAGCCCTACTCTCAATGTAATTAATAAATCCGCTGCAAATCTAATACCCGGAGAATAAGTTATGTGGGGTTTAAGGATGGGATTAGAAATACATTAATATTTATGAATGTCAAGGACTATATAACAGTAGTTTACTAAAAGTAATGTAACAAATAATATAAGTTATATTAAATGTAATGTATATTAAAATATCGTTACATATTTTGATTGCACTAAAAATTGGGTTATTTATGAAATTGTTCTCAATATTAATGATTCACTTTTTTCTCACTTATATTTACTGTATTTATTATTAACAAAAAGAGACAAACATTAACTCTAATGCATTTCAATGCAAAAAAATGTGTTTAATTTTTTAAATTTTATCTCAATATACAAATCATTAAAATTCTTTTCCACTCAAATGTATTACTTTTTTGCAAACAATTAATAAATTAATGCATTTTTTGCTCCAAAACAACATTTTTAGTAAATTTTAAAATGTTTTAATAGTTATTAAAAAATAATTATTGATAAAAGTTTATACTTATATTCGAGATGCTCATCTGCTCATCTTAATTATAAGTAAAAATACAAATTTATAATTAATGATACAATTCTGAAAGCATTAGATAAATAATATTAATTAAAAGCTTAAGTAATTAAAAATTTTTGTTTAATATAAGCATACTTTTTTTTAGGTATAAATTCTTTAAAGTATACCAATAAATAATATTTACATTAAAAACAAATTATCAAACAATGTTTGACTCAATGATGTCGAGAGCATCTGCTTTTCATTATAATTTATAAATGTTTGCAAATTATTTCCATTTTTCTAAAATTTATTTCTTATCAAAAAACATATTATAACATATCCAGTGCCTATCAAAACAGATAATGTTAATAAATGATACATTTATTTAAGGGTTAGTGTTATATAAGCCATATATAGATTGTATAAAATAACTTGAAATAGAAAACAATTACTATTTCAAGAGTCGGCCGTTTTTAATAAAAAGCATTTTAAGAAAAAATGTGAGAAATTTTTACAATTATTGCTTTTTTATTAACTCTTTTTTGACACTAAAGTATAATTTATTTCTATATATACTTTACTTACTATTTCTTTATACTTTAAGCGCCAAACCATGGCTTATATGTTGTAAATTCTGTAAAAATAATATTTTTAGAAAATATTTAAACACATTTTGATTGTAATTGTTTTGGAAATTTTAAAATAAAAATCTCGCACAAAGAAAATACATTTGCAGTTTTACGAGAATTTTATTTAAAACTATATGATAATTGTGTACAGATTATACAATTCTAGTTAAATCTTATGTCCTGTGCTTCCGGGTGTAAGTGCAAGACATTATGTGAAGATCTTATAAATATTATAATCATATTTGTATAGCAATTGACAAAATATGAAAGATTTTGAAACAAAAAAGTGATTTAATTGAAAGTTTTTGTATTCAAAATATAGATAGAATTGATTTGATAGTCACTTGAGGGCTGACATCACTTTTTGAGTTTTATATCTTCAAAAATGACTTCATATTATGTTTTAAAAGGAAAAAATGAAATAAGATATATATAAATGTCATTTTAAATCAATTTTTTGTGTTAATATCCTGTCATAAAATAAAGGAATAACCACTGAATATATGCAAAGGCATTGCCAGAGGGGGTGTCGACTAAACCATATATGTTTTGCGAATATTTTTAGAAATGTGTTTACAACCCTACAAACAACCCTTGATTATATCAGTTATCAAATAAATGTATTTTTGTGTAGAATTTCATTTTAGACTAAAAATAATTTATTTGTTTTTGGTCTGAATTTTATAACTCAAAAATGTGATGAATTATTCAGATTAATTCAAAACAAACTAAAAACAAATATCATAAGTA